TTTAGCAGCTCTTTACTTGTTATGTGTGCTTCATTTGTCATGTGTGCTCAGAGACACTTTCACTGTATTCTTATTGGCTTGTGAAAATAATCTTCATTTTAATAATTTATTATTGTTTATTAGTATAATTATTTATAATTTTAATAATATTTTACTGAGCCTGTGCATAATTTGATTAAAACTTGCCATAGTTTGAACTGAACTGAAATGGGGCTACTGTGATTAAAAATGTCCATATAAAATGCAATGAAAGTTCATTAAATACAGGCTAGCAGTATTTTAAGACATTAACTTTCAGGACAGGAACCATGTGTATGTCTCTCTGCACTTGACCTCCGTGTTTAGTTTTGCAAGGCTCAGTAACTTTGCAAGTGCCATATGTGAGAATTCCAGGGCTATGTTATGATTTATTGTTTATCTTTAGTATCGTCAGGGAGTTGAAAGCTGCCGCATCTCTACATGCAACAAGCAGTGGGCTCTTGAGTGATTCTGAGTCCCTGCTTGTTATCAACCTTGAGAATTGAGAGAAAGCTTTATTCTCTGAGTAACAATATGGTTGATTATTCTTCTGAACATTGAATATGCTAAAACTTGCAGTTGTTGCTATTAAAGACGCCAGTTAAGCGGGGTACTAGATTTTGCCTCACAGCCACACTCAAAGAAAGAATTCATTCAAAATTAAGCCATATTTTAGTACAATGCAGTGCTCCAGGTAGTCAAAAAAACATTTGCTGTTCTTTCTTTTTAATGTGAGATAGATCTATTTCTACTTGGCAGGATAGCTAGTCAAAGGTAATTGATAATACTGTGAGGTTCATATGGTGCCATTGTGTTTGTCATGAGTAATAGGTGAAGTCGTAATTAAAAACTATGTGGCCTAGAAATGCAATAGTGTGTTTTTATTTGAAATTGGCATTGCTAAAAAGGCAAAGCACATTATATAAATGAACCCCCAAAACATCAGCATATCTGTTGGTTTCTGTAACCCCCTAATTGTGATAGACTTCAGCTGAGAATACGTACAGTAGTCAGATGCAGATTAATCAGTGAACTAGAGCAGGGTTTTTTTTGAGGTTGTTAAGTTGTTCAGAGCTTCATTTCCATAGAAAGTGGTAGAACAAACTGAGGATAACATTTCTTTCCCTGAACTATCCAAACATACAGATTTTCAACAGCATAAAATTCCTGGCTCCAACACAATATGAAGTTGTTAAATGCTAAAATAACCATATGGTTGGAAAAGAACTACACATTATCAGGTTTTTTTTAGATGCAGATCAAGATTTCAGTGGCCTGGAAAATGGAATCTTGGGCAATATATTGGTATGTAGACAGTGGGCTTACTAAAGGAAGCAATGAATGGGCAGGGAGTAGTGGACTAGAGAAGAAGTGCAGAAGACGAGGCACCACTGGGAAAACTGTATCCAAAAAATCATGGGGGATATGCTTGGCATGGGACTTGGCTGCGGCCCCAGTGGCAAAGAGGAAAAGGAAAGGGCATGGGGGAATTCAGGAAATTCCAAGTACTGATTTCAAATAGTTATTGGACACTGATGCCCAGTCAAGTTCAGTCTCAGTCATACTTTGGTACCTTGGCAGCTATGCTTCCAGCTCATCCCATCACAATAGCATCTGCAACCTTATGGCTTATGGCCATTCTGATATAGAATTCCAGTCAAACGTCTCTTAGAAGACCCTTTCCGTTTCAGTGAAATGGAATACAAGTGAGCTAATCCAATAAAAGAAAAACTTGCATGCTAAAATTAGCAATTTTATACCCCTGTCCATTGGAGAAGATCATGTGCAATACTTCAGTTGTGTAGTACAACTAATGTTTATATACTCTCCCCGTTCCAATGTCCTTCCATGATTTACAACTGCTAAAATCTTAATATGTTAGAATAAAACAACAACAGTTTGGCAATCCTGGTGATATATATTAAAATAAAAATAAAATCATTTGTGCATAGGTTTCTTCATGGAAATCTTGGCTGAGTTAGTGTATATTATCATAACCCTACCTGTGTGGGACTAAATTTCATTTATGAAAGACTGAAGAAAAGCAACTGAGTTACGTATTGATTTTATGACTAAAATACACATTCAAACCCAGCAAAAACCTTTATAGGCAATGTGATCAGCTATGCAATAAATACATTCCCCATTCAAAAAACAAAAAAGCAGACTGTATTGCAGCTTTGTTTTTTGATGAAAGAAAAGAAAGTAACTCATAAATACAGAGTTTTTCATATTTATTTGATTAAATATATGGAGATAAAGCTTGCAATAACCAAATCTTTGGATGATGTGCAATATTTTAAAACATAAAACAATGAATACAAAGAACACATAATAAAACCAAGACAGAGGCGGCAGCAAAGAGTAAAAACTACAACACATAAAACCAGAGTTAAATGAAGAGCAAAATCAAAGCACTGAGAACAACTTTTACATGCCAGGAATGCTATACAGGTTTGTACCTCATGCAGAACAGACCATGTAAATACAATATAACATCATAAACAGCATAGCATCATTATTATTATTATTGTATTATGCTGCTGTGTTTGCACAATCCCTTTGTCTTTATCTTTCCAATGCCCTTTCCTGTTTCAGCCTTCCTGTCTTTCTACGTGATGCACACACCTGCCAGCTCTACAGGCCAAATGCAGCAGTGGCAGCAGGTTTGAAGGGTATGCGCGTACATGCGTGATGCCCCCTGTAGCTGCTACTTCTGAGGCACCTTTTTCCTATCACTGTGGCAGATGTGCTGGGAACTCATGCACAGTCTCTTGCAAACCTGCCCATCAGCCTATTTGAGTCCTTCAACCAAGTGCATGGTATGTGTGTGTGGGGAAGGAACTTCATATGCCCCCCCTCAGATCCACATACTTTTTATTTGCATAATTCTTTCTTCAGTATTTGGAGCTTGAAACACACAGCTTGGTAACACTTGGACACATTTCTTTGCCATTCTGGGGACTTTTTCAGAGTTTTCACAGCCAAATTCTTCTCCAAGTACTAGTAGCAGAGCAGTAGAAACAGAGTGAGTCAGAAGGGGTCTCCCCGGCCATCTAGTCTGACTTCCTTCACCAGCCAGCTCCGCTCACGACATGCCCTCCATGTGCATGTCCAGCCTAACTTTGAACACCCTCACTGATGGGACCTCAACGACCTCCCGTGGAAGCCCATTCCACACCCTCAGGGTCCTAACTGACAGGAAGTGCTTCCTGGCATCTAAATGGAGCCTTGGTTCCCTGAGCTTTGCTCCGTTGGACTGCGTCCTGCCTTCCTCTGCAGGGGAGAACAGGTCTCTACCCATCTCCGTGTGACATCCCCTCACATACCTGTATGTTGCCAACATGCATGCCTACTACTATATTTGTCCACTAAATATATTTTCTCTACAGAGAAAGCACATCAAGAGAAAGTAAATTATGCTGTATTATGAACTATCCTAGGTTTAGGAACATTTAGGAACATGCAACATTGTACATAAATATAGTTTATTTCATTCCTGAATGCTCAATAGCCAAAGTTCTCTGGACAGTTTACAGAGATTAAGAATGTTAGCACAGAATTATGCATAATATAAACAGTTAAGCTGCATGCACAATATCCATGGACCTGATTAAAAACCTCTGAGATGCTACCAAATACCAGGAGTAGGGGAAGGCACAGAAAAGATAACAGTAGTGCCCATGGGTCTACACTAGTGAGTAGCCCTTCTCCCTGTGACCGCCTTCCAAGCCTCTCTTAGAGAAGGTGCCCGGAGGAGGTCCTTGGAGGTTGCCAAAGTAGACTTGCATAGGCAGGTGTTGCAGCTCCAAGCTGTGTAAGGTTTTGTAGGTTATGTTGGGAAGCTTATTTTTGGTCTGAGAAGCACGCAGACAGCCAATGCAAGTAGGCAAGAATTTGTGAGACCTTCCGAATCTGTCATGGTACATCTGTCCTGTTGCCACCACTCAGGTAACTGAAATAAGTTTTCTGCAGCATGGTTATTGTCTTGAACAAAACCAAACCAAAATCTTGGAAAACAGAGGCAAGTGTACACCTGAGAAGGAAACTTACTTTACCTTTGAGACACTGCCTTGCATATTAGAAATGTTTCTCTGAGAAGAGTGTGTATTGTTTTAATATCAAGTTATTATCCATATGGGATATATTTTAAGTTTATATTCTACTGTAAACTTTCTATTATTTTGTTACAATCGGTCATCTAATCAAATATATACAGCAAAAGGAACTCTGAAAGAGACTTAGAAAACCCATCTTGTTCCTTGAAGTTGCTGCATATTTTTTGCTCTTCAGTTTATCTTAGCAACAATAAAGAAAGGTTTATTCCAGAAACATTAGCTTTGTTGTCATTCTCTCTTCAATCTAATACATTCTTGGGGGGTGGGCGGGGAAGGGAATGGATAGCACATTTAGTTTGCCTCTACATACATCTGGCATTTTGAAGTACAGCACATCATCTTTGGTTTTAAATTAAAGGACTTATACAAACACTGCTTGAAACAAAACAAATACAAGTCTGTTTGAGATTTTCAGTTTAAAGCAGAAGAACCAACTTGCTTGGAGACACCTAGCTTCCTACCGTCTCCCCATCTCATCATTGGGCCAAAACTCCACAGGAGCTCAGCTAAGAGCTGAACAGTTTGCAGAAAAGCAAAACATTACAGAATTGTTTTTAGTCTATGTAATGATGGACTTGATGGTCTAATATTTGACATTGATGGCAGCTCTTGATACTGTAAAGTTAAATGTACTTTGATTGGGTTTGAAAGTAAAACAACCTTTTATGAGTGCCAGCAATTATTTTTATCTGAATTTATTAACATTTTGAAATGTTGTAATTAGGTTTTTTATTGTGTTTTATCTCATAACTGAGCTGCCCAGAGATTCTGTGGCACAACTGGGCAGCATACAAATGTTTTAAATAATAAAAAAAATTATAGTTGACTTATATTCCTTAAAATTGTTGTTGTTGTTTTAAACAGGTCTTCCACAAGACCAGAGGTTGCCAGCATAGAACCTATAGAGCAAGACAATGACCAGTGTTCACAGAGGGCTATTGTCCAGGCCCGATCATCACAAGGAACACGCCTTACAAGTATTATTTTGGCTGAAGATGTTTGTAAGTACAATAGCCCTGCCTACCCACTCTTTTTGTGTATGAGGGTTATAGATTATTTTATAATGTGTGACATCTACAGCACTGTAGGGTTAGTGTGTTTTACACCACTGCACACACACACACACACAACTGGAACATTAAGAGTGCAGTAAGTCCCCTGGTATTCAATGGGGCTTACTTCCAGCTGAGTATATGACTACAGCCTAACCGTTCAGTCTTCTAAGTGTGTGAAATTTGGAACTTGTAAGGAAAAAGAAGACTAGAATAGAAATGCAAATATAGTTCATCTTTGCCTCCTGCCATTTTCTTCCATCAGCCATCACCTTTTTACTAAACTGATTGATTTGGAAAGAAGCAACTGAATCCACCCCAAGCTTTTTTGCAATCTGATAGGAAGGCAAAGTGTAACTACAAAAACAAGCATCCTGTGGAGATAAAAGGGTAGCAACAGTTTGATATATGTTCACAAAGAGAAAAGAAATGAAGAGGTATTGCTAAGAGCAGGAAGAAGAAAAATGGCTTTTTGGTTGGTAGAGGAAGAAGAAAAGAGGTCAGGAAATAGTGTGCATTTACAGTCAAATAAGAGAAGTCTGAAAATGAAAAAAAAAACAGGTGACAGAGAAAAGTTGGTAAGACTTTAAATTTAAGTCTTTAAATTTTCCATTTAACTATATCTAGCCTGCTCACAGAATTTGCCTTGGTGGAGAAATCCCTGTGTATTGCTTGTATTTGCATGGATGGTTTGTTGGTGGAAATATGCTAAGAGACAATGGAAATATGGAGAACTGTTGAGTGTGGTAAATGTTTGCTGAGTTACTTCGTATGCCTATTGAGTATTCATCTCTGAGAATAATAGCTTAAAATTATGCACACCCATGCAGGAATATGTCAAAGTGTATTCAGTATAGCTTATTTTAAGGTAAGTGTGAATAGGATTGTAGATGAAGACAATTGATGTAGAAGATGGTTATCTGTCAATAGTATTATGATTAATGTATCACCAGAATGATAAATATTAATGACTATATGTCACATAGTTACACCAATGGTGTTTTGAGCATATGTGACACGGCCTTATCCTGGCTCATTCCACAGGTGTACTCTGGCTACAGCAAACTTAGGCAGAAGTTAGTTATGGCCCTGGACTTTTTCCATGCCCCTTCCAAATAATGCTTAGCAGTCAGTAAAACAATAAGTCCATCAAAATGCAAAAATCCATTTTTGGGATATAAGATTATTCTTTTACAGCAATTCTATATCATTTTTTTAAGTAACAGGGTTAACCTTAAATGTGGGATACATTTTCAGTGTTAGAGATTAAAAGTGGACTCTGTAAAGAAATAATAAATGGCAATGCCTCTGAGCAGGTAATGAATGCATTTTCCTTACTGTGGAGTAAACAGAAATACATCCATACATCAGGGGTGAGTGGAAGCACTGTTCTGTTCATCATTTGTTCTGGAAGTGAAACATGGCATGTGACTTGGATACAGAAAACCACCATTAGAAAGGGGTTGACAGATTTTCCTGTCCTTTTTCTTCCTTCCTGTATTCCGAACTATTTTGTGGAGCTTTGGGCATAATGGCAAAAAACAGACGCTAACACCTTCTGTCCCCATCTGTGTTTTGGATAGCTTCCTATTCTTCATCCACCCTTCTGTTGTTCAGGTGGGGTTTTTTCCCAGGATACTACCAGGTGAAGGAAGATTCAGCAATGTCACCTTCCACCATCACTTTTCTGGATTCAAGCTGTAAGCAGAACAAAGCTCATGGGAGAAAGTGTGTGGGCTACTAAAAGCTAAAACAGGAAGCCCTCTTTGCTGGATATACACTGAAAAGTACATTTGCTTCCTTCCATTTTACTGTTTCCATATTGCATCTGTTCACTGCATCTATGCGTACCCACTGCTTGAGAGATAATGGCTCATTATCTCAAAACATTTTCTCAATGACTTGTTATCTCCAAACCAGATCAAAAATTGCAGAATGAAGTAGTTTTGGAGGTTGATTAGATGAAGTAACTTGGTATTTTCTTGTATCTCATTCAGCCACTGGCCAAGTGCTTCGCTGTGATGCCATAGTTGACATTATTCATGACATTCACATAGTGTCCACGACAAAAGAGCTCTATCTAGAGGATTCACCACTGCAGTTGAACATCCAGGCATTAGATTCCGAAGGTAAGAACACTTCTGAGATATTATTACTCATTTACTATAGAACTTTATTCATGAAAGAGCCTCTCCTGAGTGCATGCAGAAGACACGCCTTTCCGCCTGGGTAGAATGACCCACAAATCCCTGTCTGGGCTTCTCAAATGCATTTTAGAATGAATTTATTCTAAATACATTATTTTCCTTTTTTATTTTAAAAGTATAGTAGTACAAATAACCAATTATCAAATAGATTTATCTCTGACATTGTCTACGCTGCTTTATTATATAAAATATAATCCAGGTGTCTCATGGTCAGTGAAATGATATGCAGCAATGATAAAGTTAAACAAGATATAAACAAGTTTACATCAAAGTTAAGGGACTGAGAGTGCAATCCTATGATTGTTTAGACAGAAAAAGCCCTACAAAGGCTGACTGGGGCATGCTGAGATATGGAAGTTCTTTTTGTTCATTTATTTATTTGTTTATTTCATTTCTATTGTTGTGTACTGAACCCACTACTAAAACACAGTAGGGCAGTACCCAGTAGTGAAACTCTTAGGGCAGTTCACAACAATTCTCAAAGTATAATAAAAGAAGATACAATCAAAATACAGATACTGTACATTAAAACTCAGTATAATACAGTGGTACCTCGGCTCACGAATGCCTTGATTCATGAACAAATTGGGTCACGAACAAACTGCTTTGGGTGGTGACCAAGATTACAACCATCTCCTGCCCACCCCCCCCCCGAGTGGGGAGATGGCTGCAATCGCAGTTCCATTCGTGCAGGGAAGGCGTGCAGGATCAGAAGCACACTGCTGCAGGAAAGACGGGAGCAGCAAAGCAGAACTGCGAGGGAGATGGCTGAGATTCCGCCTGTCTTTCCTGCAGGAGCGTGCCGCTGATCATGCATGCCTTCCCTGCACGAACGGAACTGCAATAGCGGCCATCTCCCACCCCCAGTGCACCATTTGCACCCATCCCTCCCTCCTCCAGCGTACTCGTGATCACACCCGTCCCTCCCACCCCAGCATGCTGGGATGACGGGCGTGTGCAGGCATGACAGGCACATGCAGGGATGACAGGCACGATCTCAGTTGTGCTGGGGGGGGGGGGCGAGGAGATGGCCGTGCTTGTGCTTGGGGTGGAGTGGGGGGATGGTGACATTTTTCTGATTTAAAAAATGGTTACAGAACGGATTAACCTTATTTACATTGAACCTTATGGGGAAATTTAACTTGGCTCACAACCAATTTGGGTCACAACCAGAGTCCTGGAATGGATTAAGTTCGTGAGCCAAGGTACCACTGTATTCCCATATATAAATTTAAAAAGTTTAAAATCCCAGTATTCAAAACATTAAACCTCTAAAATATTTTCAGTAAAATTAAATCTGATTGAAACAATGGACATATCCCATCACATGCCATTAAATGCCTGAGACCAGAGAACAGTTTTAACATGTTGCAAAAAAGGTGACAGTAAGAATCGATGGTCCACCCAGTCCAACCCTCGGTTCACACAGTAGCAAATTGGCAGCCTACAGGATCTCTCAAGCAAGACTCCCACCAGTCCAAGCTGCTCAGAAACTGATGTATGTAGGCAGGCCACCTCTGGTAAAGGAGGCTGCACATGGCCAGTCAGGCTAGTAGCCACTGATATCTTCTCCTTCATGAATATAATAAAATGGGGCCTGGCAAGGCTTTGTAGGGGGATCATTTCATAAGGTATGGGGGATTGAGATGCCACTTCTTGTTGTCTCTTTCCAGACCCCCCTTGGAGTTGGGCTGTTGGAGGAAGGCCCCAGATCTCTTAGGTTCTGATTGAGATCGGGAGAGGTGTTCTGTCCAGTATTGTGGTCCCAAGCTGTGTCAGGGTTTTTCAGCTAAAACCAGCACCCAGAATTGGGCACAGGAGCATATCAGCAGACAATGCAAGTGGGCCAGAATTGTTTGGTCCTTCTCATCCCCGTTACTACTCTGACCACTGCATTTTTCACAGGCTGCAGTTTCTGGACAAGGGAAGCCCACACAGAGGACATGGCAGTAATCTAAGAGATTACCAAAGCACAGATTACTGGAACTACCCAGGCAGGGACACAGCTGGGCCATCAGCTGAAGCTGGCAAAAGGCACTCTGGGGCAGTGAGGCCACTTGGGCCTAAATGGGCACAGATGGATCAACGAGAACTCCTGAGCTGTGGGCCAGCTTATTCAGGAGAATGCTACCCACCAACAGCATCTCAGTCTTGCCTGACTGAGTTTCAGTCTTTGAATGCTCATACAATCCACTGTACAGCCTCACCTGATGGGGGTGCAAAGGAGAAATAGAGCTGCATGTCATCAGCATGCTGATGGCAGCACGTTCCAAAACTCCTGATGGAATACCAGGCTTGCTGGATACAAGCAATTTTATACACAAGTATGTGGCTTGTATGCCATAATGGGCCTCAGATGGGTTGACAGCATTCTCAGGGCCAGGGTGTAGTCTAGTAGGCCGCAGACAACTCTAAATTGCTCTGCTGGGCAGCAAACAAAAGACTGAACAGAAACAGTGACATTTTGTTTCTTTGCTGCTTTCACTGCCCCACATATTCCTGCTTATAGGCAAGTGCCAGGGCTTGATTGCATGCACTATGAGCTTTCCTACACTTGTGCTCAAGCCTTCTGCTGTTTCATTTCATCACTTCAGTTCCAGAATATACAATGGAGCTATATGAGCTCCACCATAGAGAGGGGATTCAAGGACGATTATGTCAACAGCCTGCATTTCAAGAGGACCACCAACCATACCAGCTGGAAAATCCTCTAGAGTAGGGGTGTGTGAAGAATCTATTTGCAGGTGGGAAATTGCCTGGGTTCAGGCTCGGATTCCCTGTGTTTGGCTCCCCACATGAAGCCCCACATGGCTGCTAGCAGGGTTGCATGGGGCCCCGTTCCTGAAAGGCCCCAGATAGCTGCTATGCAAGCAGTGCCCCTCTTCCACATCACCTGCAACAGCCTTTGTGCTCCTGAACAAGATGTGGAAGAAGGTTGCAGGTTGTGTCAACTTGGTTCTGCCCGCATTCACAACTTCCTCCCTGCTAGCCATACATGAGAAAAAGTCCAACAATCTGATGTTTAAGAGCAGTACCTGGAGAGGCAAAGGCAAGTTGATATGGCAGGCATCGAGAATGTGTGTGCAAGGAGAGCAAGAACGCAGCTTAGCCGTTCACTCTCTAGGCTGTGTTCTTCTCCCCTAGTTAGTCCTCCTTCCAATGCCCTACCTCCTTCTACCCAGCTGTAGGTGCCCAAAATCTCCTCCCTTCCAGACATTTTCAAGCCCTAAGGTGAGAACAAATCCCTCACCAAGGGACTAATTTAAGTGTCCTGCACTATTGGTAGGGGAAGCTGCATGACATCCCTGGGAGCTGATCTGCAGGAGAAATGCCACCAGGCAAGAGCAAGCAGGAGACCGATATACCTGGGGCAAGTCAGCAGAAGCAAATGCTCAGTGCTGGTTCTAACTGACAGGACTGTCTTTCAAAGTCACAAGAAGCACTCCAACCACTCTTCCTAAAGATAAATAAGATTGCAGATAAGATTAAGAAGTGATAGAATGCTTAAGCAATATCCCTGAAAGGCTCACAGAAAGCCATAATCACTGCTCATCTAAAAGAAACCAGTGATAGGACCTGGGTTACTTTTCTTGATGTACAATCTCTGATTTTGGATTCTACAACCAAAAGGCCTTATTTGACTGCCTACTCACTGCATGTTCATAGAAGAGAATTTAAAGCAGGACCTCAGGGGAAGGGGAAATTGCAGGGAGGGGGACAAGCTCATGTGGATGAAAGTGAGATGTTCTCGAGACATTTTTGTCTCAGGTGGTTTGGATATTTCGGTTTCAAAATCAGTATCTTGACTTGAGCCCAGAAACAATTTGACTACAAATCAAGGAGAAATAGGATTAGTGTGGTATGATCTGATATCATGGGCGAAGTCTGAATTCTAGTAAAGATATTCTGAATCAATCAAAATTCTAAATTGCCTTCCAGGGCAGCCTCACATAAAGTGGATCACAGTAAGTAGTCCAGATGTGACAAAGAGCTTGAATGTTCCCAAAACAGTCATCTGTTCCAAGTAAATGCACTGGTCGTGCTGGGCTGAAGGTGCAGTGCCAGATGTTTGGGACTTCAGCTCCAGAAGCCTGTACAGCCATGGTCAGGATTGCCAGGACCTAAAACATCTGGAGTTCTGTTTTATGCTAGAATATCCAGTGAGGCAACTCAAAGCACTCCCATCGCTGAAGCCCTCTCTCAAAGACGAGAACAAACAAGAAATGAAAGGCAGTCCAACAGTTGCATTTGCAAAGATGATCAAGACCGTGGATATTTGTGATTCCTGCTCATGAATTGGACTAATGAGCATATGTGATAGTGCTGCTTTGATTTCAAGTAAATGAGCTGTCTCCGGGGTGTGTCATTCTTGCAATGCACGTGTTGTAGCAGTCCTGTGGCCAATATCACAGCAGGGGTTTTACTTTTGCTGAATCTCTGCTGCAGACCTGCAGTCTCAGCACAGCCCCAGTGCTGTGCTTTAAAAAATGGATTTGTTTTTGCTTTATATTTCAGGAGCATTGCTGGAAAATTTATCTTAGCTTTGCAATGTGAAATCATGTGTCATGAAAACAATCCATTATGATAGTACATCTTGTATATTCCCTTGGGCACTTAAATCTATTTTCTCTGTGGTACAGAGAATATTTTTAAATGTGAGGTTTTAAGATGGAAGAACAACACAGAGCACTTTATATTGCGTTTCAATCACACAGAATTGAAAAGTGTATATAAGCCCAGAAAAGGCTTGATTGCACTTCGAGTTGAACTAACACACGCGCGCGCGTGTGTGTGTGTGTGTGTGTGTGTGTGTGTTCAATAGTGCCATAGCATTTAAATTCTAGGGTTTTGGCAATGAAATATTGAATGTATTTTTCAAATGAAAAGAAAGACAAAAGTACTTTTAAAATTAAAATAGATGTGATCAAGTTCCAGCTTAAGACTAGCATTTCATTTTTCTCTATTTGTATTATAAATTATTTATCTATTTATTGCATTTCTGGCATACCTTTGGCTTGCAAGGATCCCAGGTGGCTTACATAATCCTCTTCCTCCCAATTTTATCCTTGCAACAGCAGCTGTGTGAGACAGGTTAGACTGAGGTCAGTGACTGACCCAAAGTCCCTGAGTGAACTGCATGGCTAAGTGGGGACTGGAATCTGGATCTGCTAAGTCTCAGTGAAACATTCTACCTGCTGGTTCTCTGTTAATTGAACTAGTTGGATTTCTGCCTCTGTTTTTGGTAGTGAAGAACTAATGAATGAGGTTATCCTGAAAGTATCGTTAATACAGAGAAATGATCTATGAATATTCATGGATAGAGCAACCTTATAGCCAGATCTGAGGAAGAAATAGGGGCTCTGACCTCAGAACTTGTAACTCCCACACATACCCCCAGCATGAAAGGAATTGCATGGGCTGTTTCCTGAAGTCATAAGACTGAACTTTGTTGTTGTTGTTGCTAGTCACAAAATCGCGTCCGACACATCACGACCCCAAGGACAACATTCTTCCAGACCTTTCTGTCCTCCACCATCCCCCAGAGTCCACTTAAGCTCACAGCAACTGCTTCAGTGACTCCATCTAGCCACCTCATCCTCTGCCATCCCCTTCTTCTTTTGCTGCCAATTGTTCCCAGCATTAGGTTCTTTTCCAGACTGACTGAACTTAGAGGAGGAATGAAAGGGCATTCCAGGCACATCCTCACAGCATTCCAAATCTTCCTTCCCTTCCTCTCCAAAGATCCACAGCTAGATGGCACAGCTTGGCCTGTATCTTCTAAACTGAGAATGTATGGGCATTCCTGCTGGATTGTACCCAAATATACTGAGCCTTCATCATGCAGAAATCATGCTCTGTTTTGTGTCATTTGGAGTAACACTCTGGTCCTTTACATGTCTCCGAAGAAGTAAACCCAACACTATATTCAATGGGACCTAATCCTAGGTAGGTGTGTGTTTAGGATTGTAGTCTCAGTCTTGGAGGGCAATTTAATTTTTTTGCAGTACTCTGATTTCTGGTCACATGATTTGCATTTCTAAAATTTGAGCCACACAACTGTGCCCTTCATTTCCTTCTGATCCCAAGGGATGTTTGATAGACTCAAGCATCATTCCTAGGGTAAGCAGGGTGGGGGATGAGTTCATTCTTCTTCATTTTTAAGTTCATTACTGGTAAGCAAACTATATTTGCTATTAGAATGCTGTCTTCAAATTGACACCATTGGGAGATGAAGTGTCAGTGAAGACTGATTTCATGAATGAGCAGTTAGCCTTGAATAATGATTTGAAATCCAGTTTCCTCAAACTCGTGAAGATTGATGTAATAGCTGTTAATGAATGTGCATGCAGTAGCAACCCTTGGGATTTCAGAGACTTGAACATTCCCAAGAGTTATTGCAGAAATGTAAGCAGTGGGGCTTGTGAAAGATTTCTGTTGTTGGGTCCTTTGCACAGATAATTGCGTATGAAAGTGATGTACTTGCATAAGGAATATAAAATTGGACAAGCATATTTATTTTATTTTGAAGGATCGAATTTGTTTCCACATACCACAATAGGAAAATTGAGACATTGGGAAGTATTTGTTTCCAACCCATTTATTGGTACTAGATGCATACTAGGGTTGTGATGTGCGAGATATATGGGCAGGGCATGCACATATTAAACTTCTGTGGATTTTGAAATGCCTTCTAGTTAGACTGTAGGTCTACTGAAGAAGAGTTAAATAAAACATACTTGTGAAAGAGTGTGTCCTATGGTTATTTTTCTCTTGCATGAATAACTATATGCTTATTGGATTAAAGAAGTCTCAGCTACTTTAGGTTGTTCTTCAGGCTGTTTCTACACTACTTCTAAGTTTATCCAGTTTTTATTTCAGTTCTTCATTATGAGCACTGCATTATATTTATGTATATGTGTATCTTACCCTTGTATCTATTATATCCTAGAATATTTGATAGAAAATCACTTTTGCTTGGTTTGATAAGTGCTTGGACTTTAAGGGTCTGAGCTACAGGCTGCTGCTGTCAAGGGTTTTAGTAATCCTATCCTGTTTTTAGGATATGAATGGTTCTTTTTCACATGCTGGTTTTATGTGCATTTTTCCTGCTTGTTGCAATTTCAAGCATTCATTATTTGGGTGTATGAGAATTTTGCTGCTCTGATACCTGATATTTAATTTCTTGAATTGTTTGAAGGAAACACTTTCAGCACTTTGGCGGGACTTGCGTTTGAGTGGACAGTCATGAAAGACCCAGAAATTAATGGATTCTCAGACTCCCATAATGCACTGCGGTAAGTATTGTTTAAATTATTTTGTTCATTTCTCCATGCATTTAAAGGAAATAGCTGTACATATGGCAAGTGTAGCTCCATTCTCCTGATGCTGTTGGCAATTCTTCCACCTTAATGTTAATTACTTTTGCAAGTTTTCATCTCTTTCATTCATCATGAAGATGCATTGTGCCTTCTTATTTGAAAAAAAAGATCATTCAGTGTCGCTCACAATATAAACTTCTAAACAATCAATGACTGCTAAAAACCAAGTAGGTGTAAGAAACACAGACAGCAGATGAAATGTCACAAGCAAAATAGCACCTTCTTTTTGACAGTCTCAATGCCTTTCAGGATAAAGAAGTTTTCACAGAGTAATGGGCGAGGGGCAAGGCAAGCCTTCCCAGGTCCACAACCTAAGCTCGGCCATAATAGATCATCTTGTAGCCAAATCAGCTACACCTCTGACATTGGTATGTGGGGTGAAGATTGGTATGCATTCTTTCAGTGCCCTGCTCCTTCCTCATCTACCCATGATCTACCCATATCCTGCCAGTTCTGTTTCCTAAGCTATCCACTTCTTCTCTCCCTTCACCTCATTGCCTCTGTTCCTTTTTTCCCCGATGATCCCTTTACAATTATCCTCCTTCGCTTCAGTTACTCTCAGAGACAGCTTCTTGTATCATAGTTCCACACATGTATACATGTTCCTCTCTGCACATGTGCCCATATGGATTGTAGCTAAGTGTGCTGGTGCAGAGCAGAGCCCTATTAGAAAGAGGGTTATTCCTAAAACTCTGGAGAAAGTGCTCTGTGTCTCAAAAGTTCTGAGAAGCAAGTTTGGGCAGAAGCTTTGTTTACTGTTGCTTATCTTTGTATTTTGCTTTCTTAATAATCTGTTTACAGGCTTGTCATGTGACCTAATGTTTGCCGATGTGACCAGAGCACTCAGGCATATGTTCTAGGTTGCAAGCTCCTAGGAAGAAGAGACATTTCGAAGAGGGAATCTCAAAAGGTTGAGAGCAGTTTCTGAAACTGTTGCAATATTTGCAGTTTGTATACCAGTCTTCCCCTTCCAATTCTAGTAAACTGGTTCTCAGAAAGTATTCACACTGCAGTTCCTGAGGGAGGAGGAGAGGAACCTTTAGACCTCTGGTGAGCTGCCATACATGCACTGGTAGTGTAGTGGTAAATTTTGAATTGCAGACCTCCACAGTCTTCTCAAGGAGACTGCCAAAATTGCAGGCAGTGATGCTGATCCACACCCATAAACCAGTCCTTACAGTTTTCATCTCTGCCAGGAGCAGGTCTTTTGTAAAGCTAATGGGTTTTAATTTCCTATTCAAGACCAAACCATGCAAAAAGAGTTTGTGTCACAACAGGGAGCAATATATCGTTGGGAAAAATAATTCCTCCTCTGCTTCCATGACATTTGCAGCTGCCTTCAAAGAGAACAGAGAAGTTTGAGGAGGGTGGCAGGTGACAGCCCAGCATCCCTGTGAGCCCTTGTTCCACTACATCATTCAATACATGGCTGATAGATTATGTCCAGCTTACTGAGAAATAGACTTTCTCTTGCTGATTTACAGTTAAAAATTGAAATTATCTGAAGTAGTATATATGAGTTAATTAAGTTAGATTTATTACAGTTGCATGTTCCATTTGGTGCTCTCAGGGCACTCATATGCCATTAAAAAGAAACCATAATTAAAACAGCGACAGTTCAGTAACACATGGTCCATAGCTTTAATCCACAAAGTAGCAATAAAGCAAGGAATATTCCTTGGACATGTTCTTGACCAATTTAGATAGTTCAAGGAATAAATATGGGTTCTGGATAGTGAGTCCTTTGGCAAGTTGGTGCAAATGGTAACCTCGGTAGCTGTATATGAAGAGGTTTGGCTAGGAGATACTCTTCTTTCATTGAAAGCATAATTATAATTTTATTTATTACATTTCTGTACTGCCTAATAGTCAAAGCTCCCTGGCTATTTCATAACAATGAAAACCATAAAATGCAACTTAAAATACACAATAAAATTTAAATATTTAAAACTACAGTATAAAGGAGACCTAAAAAGCAGAGTAAAACTGATAAGCACAAGAAAGATTTAAATTACAAAATGAATATTGGAAGACTAAAAGCCCAGAGAAAATAAAGAGGACTTCACCTAGTACCAGGTAAGACTCTAAAAAGTTTGTTCCATTCAGGGTGCCACAACAGAAGAGGCAGTGACCCACCTTGCAGAACAGCCACTAAGAATAATAATAGTGTCTGGGAGAAGACGATTCTCCAGCTAACTTAACCCTGAGCAATTTAGGGTTTTAAATATTTGCATCAGGCCCAGACATGGATTAGCAGTCATGCAAATGATGAAATATTGATATAATATGAACATGTTGGCCAGTCCTCATTAGCAGTTACACTGCCCTATTCTGGACCAGACTATTTTTAAAGATAGCCCCACATATCACATATTTCAACACCCTAGCCAGATGGTTACTAGTTAGGCTATCTCTCTCTAGATAAGGATGCAGTTAGTATATCAGCCTAAGCTGATAAAAGGTGTTCTGCACCACCAAGTCCACCTGGATTCAAAACACTAGCTTTGCTAGCGCTTTCAAATGCTAGCGCTTTGGTGGAGTTCTGTTCTCTCCAGAATGAGTTGTGCATTTGGATTGGCCCTCACCCAGTCCTTCATCCAGTGCCATGTGCAGGAACTGAGTCA